CAGGTTCCTGAGCCTACTGGGCTCTGTCATATCTACACTTGAAACTGTGTATGGAGTCAGCCTCCACCACATCACTTCCTAGTGCATTCCATTTATTAACTACTCTGACACTGAAAAAGTTCTTTCTAACGTCTGTATGGTTCATTTGGGCACTCCACCAATTTGTGTGTGTGTGTGTGTGTGTGCGTGTGTGTGTGTGTGTGTGTGTGTGTGTGTGTGTGTGTGTGTGTGTGTGTGTTTACTAGTTGTGTTTTTTTGCGGGGGTTGAGCTTTGCTCTTTCGGCCCGCCTCTCAACTGTCAATCAACTGTTTTACTAACTACTTTTTTTTTTCCCACACCACACACACCCCAGGAAGCAGCCCGTGACAGCTGACTAACTCCCAGGTACCTATTTACTGCTAGGTAACAGGGGCACTTAGGGTGAAAGAAACTTTGCCCATTTGTTTCTGCCTCGTGCGGGAATCGAACCCGCGCCACAGAATTACGAGTCCTGCGCGCTATCCACCAGGCTACGAGGCCCCCTATGTGTGTGTGTGTGTGGTGTGTGTGTGAGTGTGTGTGTGTGTGTGTGTGTGTGTGTGTGTGTGGTGTGTGTGTGTGTGTGTGTGTGTGTGTGTGTGTGTGTGTGTGTGTGTGTGTGTTCGGGATTCGAGTGTGTGTATGCGAGCGGGATAGCGCTCGGCATTCGTAGTCCTAAGTGTCCGGGTTCGATCCCCGGCGAAAGCGGAAACAAATAGACAGAGTTTCTTTCACCCAGATGCACTGTTCACCAAGCAGTAAATAGGTACCTGGGAGTTAGACAGCTGCTACGGGCTGCTTCCTGGGGATGTGTATGTGTGTGTGTGTGTGTGTGTGTGTGTGTGTGTATGTGTGTGTGTGTGTGTGTGTGTGTGTGTGTGTGTGTGTGTGTGTGTGTGTGTGTGTGTGTGTGTGTGTGTGTGTGTGTGGAAAAAAATCAGTTGATTGACAGTTGAGAGGTGGGCCCAAAGATCCAGAGCTCAACCCCCCTCAAGCACAACTAGGTGAGTTCACCTAGGTGAATACATCCCCAGGATGCAGTCAGCAGCAACAACAGTCTAACTCCAAGGTCCCTCATTACTGCATAAGTAAACAGAGGCACCAGGCGAAAGAAACCCTTCCCAATTCTGACTCGGCCGGAACCGAACTCGGATCCGTAGACTATGTATCACAAAAAAGCTGTGTGTGTGTGCGCAAGAAAATCTTAGAGAGACATTATGAAGATATATTCAGACGTGAGGAGAGATGAGGTGTGAGGAGAGATGAGGCGTGAGGAGACATGAGGTGTGAGGAGAGATGAGGCGTGAGGAGACATGAGGTGTGAGGAGAGATGAGGCGTGAGGAGACATGAGGTGTGAGGAGACATGAGGTGTGAGGAGAGATGAGATGTGAGGAGAAATGAGGTGTGAGGAGAGATGAGCTGTGAGGAGAGATGAGATGTGAGGAGAAATGAGGTGTGAGGAGAGATGAGGCGTGAGGAGAGATGAGGCGTAAGGAGACATGAGGTGTGAGGAGAGATGAGGCGTGAGGAGACATGAGGTGTGAGGAGACATGAGGTGTGAGGAGAGATGAGATGTGAGGAGAAATGAGGTGTGAGGAGATATGAGGTGTGAGGGAGAGATGAGGTGTGAGGAGAAATGAGGTGTGAGGAGAGATGAGGCGTGAGGAAAGATGAGCTGTGAGGAGAGATGCAGCCCCGGGAATCTCCGGTAATAACATATCTGTAAATATTGATATTCCGGCAAGCTGGTTATGTATAGGGAGAGGGCCTGACGGCTGAGTAGACAGCGCTCCGGATTCGTAGTCCTCCCCGCCCCCCCCCCTCACTTCTCCAGAGGTCCCGCGTAGCAGCTAACGACGACAAACTGCCTCAACTCCACACAAAAACCGCCCATAAATCCTGCCCCAAGATGCTCTCTTTTATCCCCCACACAATTTCCAACTTGTTTCTAAATCACTTGGTTTTTTGCGCTCCTGCTGCCTGTCTACCTGTCTCTCTGTCTGTCTGTGTTCGTCTGTGCCTGTCTCTTTCTCTGTCTCTCTCTCTGGAAGTCTATCGCTCTGCTTGGCTTTGAAGAGGGTGAGGGAGGCTGTGTTGACCTCATCTCCCAGATGATGCTCGGGCCCCCACAGAAGACTTCCTGATGAGTCAGCTGAGTGAGTGAGTGATCCACCTGTATAGATGAATAAGCCGTCCACCATGCAGCTGTAATCCATAGATTCTTATACCCCACCACAGACTCACACACCCACCCACGCCCTCTCCCGCCCACAGACGAGTGCTGGCGGCGGCTGTGAAGGCGGGAAAGGTGGGACAGTTCCTGTGGGTGGGGAGCGACTCGTGGGGCGCCAAGATCCACCCCGTCAGAGACCAGGAGGAAGCTGCCCTCGGAGCTATCACCATCCTGCCGCAGAGGTCCTCTTTGCAAGGTGAGACGCCACCCTCCTAGGGGGTGCTAGGTGCTGGGGTGGGTGGCTGGGAAGCTTCCTAGGGGGGGTCCTAGGTGCCTGGGGTGGGGTGGCTGGGAAGCTTCATAGGGGGGGTGCTAGGTGCTGGGGTGGGGTGGCTGGGAAGCTTCCTAGGGGGGGTCCTAGGTGCCTGGGGTGGGGTGGCTGGGAAGCTTCCTAGGGGGGGTCCTAGGTACCTGGGGGTGGGTGGCAGGGAAGCTTCCTAGGGGGTCCTAGGTGCCGGGAGTGGGTGACTGGGAAGCTTCCTAGGGGGTGCTAGGTGCTGGGGGTGGGTGGCAGGGAAGCTTCCTAGGGGTGTCCTAGGTGCTGGGGGGTGAGTAACAGGTAGAGTCCTAGGATCCCAGACACTGGGAGGGGAAGGGGGTTCTTCAGGTCCCGTGTGCTAGGAAAAGAAAAGGGCTGAACAGCAAGGGTCCTGGGTGCTGGGGGATGAAGGGAAGCATCCGTGTCCTAGGTGCTAGGAAAGGGAGCCTTTCAGGGGTCCTAGCTACAAGCTGGACGGTGAACATATTAAGAGGGGAGAGTGATAATTACAGAGGGGAGACAGGGAGAGAGAAGGGAAATAGGGAGGACGAATGAGGGGAGACAGGAAGAGAGAGAGAGAGAGAGAGAGAGAGAGAGAGAGAGAGAGAGAGAGAGAGAGAGAGAGAGAGAGAGAGAGAGAGAGAGAGAGAGAGAGAGAGAGAACAGCAAATTAAAATATCCCCGAAACAGGTGGCAGGGAGAAAAAGTTACTAGGAGAGGAAGAGGGGAGAGGGGAGAGAGGGGAGAGAGTAGATAGTAAATAGGGGAGAAAGTAGATAGGGGAGAGAGGAGTAGACGAAAGGAAAGGAAGAGGAGGGGACAAGATAAATGGAAGAGGACGAAACAGGGAGGTGTAGAAACAGTTAAATAGTGAAAGATTGTCTGATAAATGACAGGAAGGATGGACAGGTGACACGGGAAGGTGACGTCACAGACAGACGGGTGATATAGGGAGGATGACGTCACAGACAGACGGGTGATATAGGGAGGATGACGTTACAGCCAGACGGGTGATATAGGGAGGATGACGTCACAGCCAGACGGGTGATATAGGGAGGATGACGTCACAGACAGACGGGTGATATAGGGAGGATGACGTCGCAGACAGACGGGTGATATAGGGAGGATGACGTCACAGACAGACGGGTGATATAGGGAGGATGACGTCACAGCCAGACGGGTGATATAGGGAGGATGACGTCACAGCCAGACGGGTGATATAGGGAGGATGACGTCACAGCCAGACGGGTGATATAGGGAGGATGACGTCACAGCCAGACGGGTGATATAGGGAGGATGACGTCACAGACAGACGAGTGATATAGGGAGGATGACGTCACAGACAGACGGGTGATATAGGGAGGATGACGTCACAGACAGACAGGTGATATAGGGAGGATGACGTCACAGACAGACAGGTGATATAGGGAGGATGACGTCACAGACAGACGGGTGATATAGGGAGGATGACGTCACGGACAGACGGGTGATATAGGGAGGATGACGTCACGGACAGACGGGTGATATAGGGAGGATGACGTCACGGACAGACGGGTGATATAGGGAGGATGACGTCACAGACAGACGGGTGATATAGGGAGGATGACGTCACGGACAGACGGGTGATATAGGGAGGATGACGTCACGGACAGACGGGTGATATAGGGAGGATGACGTCACGGACAGACGGGTGATATAGGGAGGATGACGTCACAGACAGACGGGTGATATAGGGAGGATGACGTCACGGACAGACGGGTGATATAGGGAGGATGACGTCACAGACAGACGGGTGATATAGGGAGGATGACGTCACAGCCAGACGGGTGATATAGGGAGGATGACGTCACAGACAGACGGGTGATGTAGGGAGGATGACGTCACAGACAGGCGGGTGATATAGGGAGGATGAACATCTTGGTCTTAGACTGTTGTTGTTATAGATTCATCTACTTATAACAACTCCCAAGTAGCACGGGCTATGGTGAGCCCGTAACTCATGAAGACAGTGTTCACCTTGGCACCTGAGATGTTGACTTGTTCATGTGTTCAATACTCACCCTTTGTCAGCTTCTTGTTTATCTCCCCTTTATTATGTCTTTTGTTACCCCCTTTTGTCTCTTCCCCTCATGTGACCTGCCCCTTCCCTCACTCACTCCCTCATCCTTACACACACTTGCACCCCATCATATTCTCTTCCGAACCCTCCCTCCCTCACCCCTCCCTCACCCCTCCCTCACCCCTCCCAGCCTCCCTCCCTTACCCCTCCCAGCTTCCATCCCCCCAACCCTTCCTACCTCCATCTCCCCCCTTCCTTGCCTCACCCTTCCCCAGCCTCTCCCCCTCACCCTTCCCAGCTTCCCTCCCCCTCCCTCAAAACCTCCCTCACCCTCACCCTCTCTCTCTCTCTCATCCTTTCCATCCTCACCCCCCCCCCCCTGTCTCTAGGGGACTCATATCTCTCACCCTACTTCCCTACTTCCTAGAGTGTCTCATTCCTCCCTTCCCTCCCCTCTTCCCTCATCTCTCACTCTCCCTCACCACCAATTATCCTCCCGCAGTTACTCACCCCCTCTCCCCCCCCCTCTCCCGCAGGTTTCGACCGGTACCTGCGGGCGCTGCGGCCGCGGGAGAGAGGGAAGCCCTGCTCCCTGACGGGGCCCGGAGACGACCAGGAGAGGAACTGCCGCAACGTCTGGTTTAAGGAGTTCTGGACACAACATTTCAATTGCACCTTCAGGAACCCGCTGCCCCCGGGGCGCCGGGCCTGCACGGGCAAGGAGACCATCACCCACGAGCAGGAAGGACTGGTGCCCTTCGTCGGTAAGTCCCTGGGATATCATCCTAGAGGGAGCCACAGTCTTTCCTTGTAGCTCAGTTCTCTTGGCTCCGGGTCCAGTCTTGTAGGAAATTTTTGGTCTTTTTTTTTTTAGGTGGGTTTTCTCCCATTAGGGGATACGTAGTGTGGTACTGGTGTCATGTGTGTAGCAGGTCTGGTGTCATGTGTGTAGCAGGTCTGGTGTCATGTGTGTAGCAGGTCTGGTGTCATGTGTGTAGCAGGTCTGGTGTAGGTGTGTAGCAGGTCTGGTGTAGGTGTGTAGCAGGTCTGGTCTAGGTGTGTAGCAGGTCTGGTGTCATGTGTGTAGCAGGTCTGGTGTAGGTGTGTAGCAGGTCTGGTGTCATGTGTGTAGCAGGTCTGGTGTAGGTGTGTAGCAGGTCTGGTGTAGGTGTGTAGCAGGTCTGGTGTAGGTGTGTAGCAGGTCTGGTGTAGGTGTGTAGCAGGTCTGGTGTAGGTGTGTAGCAGGTCTGGTGTAGGTGTGTAGCAGGTCTGGTGTAGGTGTGTAGCAGGTCTGGTGTAGGTGTGTAGCAGGTCTGGTGTCATGTGTGTAGCAGGTCTGGTGTCATGTGTGTAGCAGGTCTGGTGTAGGTGTGTAGCAGGTCTGGTGTCATGTGTGTAGCAGGTCTGGTGTCATGTGTGTAGCAGGTCTGGTGTCATGTGTGTAGCAGGTCTGGTGTCATGTGTGTAGCAGGTCTGGTGTCATGTGTGTAGCAGGTCTGGTGTCATGTGTGTAGCAGGTCTGGTGTCATGTGTGTAGCAGGTCTGGTGTAGGTGTGTAGCGCAGGTATTAGCTGAGTATGCCTCATGTGTGTGTACCTCATTTGTCAGGTGTGTACCTCAGGTTATATATATATATATATATATATATATATATATATATATATATATATATATATATATATATATATATATATATATATATATATATATATATGGCACCTATATGGCCTCAATTCCATCTGAAATCTCAAAAACATAAAAAAACAGAGAGGCGGGACTCAAGAGCCGTAGCTCAATAAAATTAGATGAGTCCAACTGAGTACAATACTAAGTGAGTACACAGCCGTATGAGCTCATCTACCCATGAGTAGCTAAGCGTGAGTGTACCACAATTGACGGCTGAGAGGCGGGACCAAAGAGCCAAAGCTCAACCCCCCCCCCACCCCACGCAAGTCACAATTAGGTGAGTACAACTAGGTGAGTACAGTAAGACAATACCTGTTGTTTACCAGTGTGGCAGAGAACACAACTGCACCACAAACAGTCTCCTTGCTCACCTCTTAACTTTTGGTGGTACTTTCAGAAGCCTTCACCAGCCTGGAGAGAACAAAAGGGTTCGAGGGGGGGTGGGGGTGGGGGGAGTGGGGGGGTGTTGGGGAGGGGGGTTGTGGGGTGTGAGGGGGGGAGGGTTCGGTTATTTTTTTTTCTTCAGTCTTGAAAAAGATGCACTCGGCTCGCACTCTCGTCTCCTCCTCCTCCTCCTGCTGTTTGCCTGTTCACTCTCATCTTGTTGTTGAACTCTTGTGTGAGTACTGACCGAGGCTCTCCCCCTCCACCCCCCCCCCCCACACACACACGCACGCGCGCGGCTCTGTTGAGTGCACAGCGTTTGTGTTACTCAGTGGAACAGACACTCTGTGTCACTCAAGGGCAGGCAACAGTTGCAAAACGGAGACACAGAGGAACGAGAAGAGGAACAAGTTTTATAGACTGATCCACAGGTTACAACCCGCTTACCCAAGATACAGAATACACGAGACGCGCTTCTGAAGCTTTAGACGAGTTATCCATCAAATCTACATACAATTCACGTTTTCTTTAATCTGTAAGAATAATACAGGTACAACTATGGTATTTGGTGGTTTCCAGAACTCGCAACTACCATTGAGGAAGTGTTGTCGACTCAGAAGCACCACCACTAGTTCGTTACTACTGAGACAATAACTACCCTCTTGTTAGCACGCTGGCCTGGTGGTTAGAGTGATAAAGTCTCGTATTTATCAGGTCTTAGTTCGATTCCCAGATGATCACACTACAGGAGAGATGGTTGGAGAAAGAGAGTGGAGAGAGATATGTGAGAGGGGGAGAAGAGGGGAAGAGAGAGAGAGAGAGAGAGAGAGAGAGAGAGAGAGAGAGAGAGAGAGAGAGAGAGAGAGAGAGAGAGAGAGAGAGAGAGAGAGAGAGAGAGAGAGAGAGAGAGAGAGAGAGAGAGAGAGAGACCCGGGCCCAGCCGGTTACACCCTCTATTGCGTGTGCATAAATCTCTGAGTTTTAAAACGTTTTCCGTTTAAGAAACATTTAAAACGTTTCGTAGCCATTCTCTTTCTTATCTCCAATATTCTTGAACGTTTTTCTAAGTCTTCCTAACAAAAAAAAAATAAAATAGGCACTTAATTGCTCCTTTCCAATCTTCATCTTGTAGACATTTTTCTCAGTTTATTTTTATTTACTCAATTATTCCATTTTCTTGACTAATTCTTCTCTATATTTAAATTAATATTAGTGTTTTGGTCTTTCTACTGTGATCTTAGTCGTGCTTGTCTTATTCTTAGCCTGCTGCCCTGTTCTTAGCCTTTTCTTCCCTTTTCTAAGCTATTCTTGTTCTGTTCTAAGCTATTCTTGCTCTGTTCTTAGCCTGTTCTTTCCTGTTCTAAGCTATTCTTGCTCTGTTCTTAGCCTGTTCTTCCCTTTTCTAAGCTATTCTTGCTCTGTTCTTAGCCTTTTCTTCCCTTTTCTAAGCTATTCTTGTTCTGTTCTAAGCTATTCTTGCTCTGTTCTTAGCCTTTTCTTCCCTGTTCTAAGCTATTCTTGCTCTGTTCTTAGCCTTTTCTTCCCTGTTCTAAGCTATTCTTGCTCTGTTCTTAGCCTGTTCTTCCCTGTTCTAAGCTATTCCTGTTCTGTTCTTAGCAACTCTTGCATTGTTCTTAGCCTTTCCTGCCATGTTCTAAGCTATCCTTTCCCTGTTCTTAACAATTCCTACCATATTCTAAGCTATTCTCGCCTATTCGTAGCCATTTTTATGCATATTCTTCAGTTGGTATTCTCAAGTTCATAGCATAAAAATCCTTCCAATTGTATTGAGTGTTGTCAAGACAATTCTCATTCAATTCTCACTCAGGATCATGTGGAAATTTAATAGCAAACTTGTGGAGAGTTCTCAGCCAATTTTGGGGACAAAACGTTTAGTCAAATTTGTTAGAAGAGGTCAGCCAATTTTGGGGCAGTATATAAGCCAATTTTGGTGTAATAGTTAAGTCAATTTTGGAGCAGTTTTTAAGCCAATTTTGGGGCAATATTGAAGCCAATTTTGGGGCAGTATTTAAGCCAATTTTGGTGCAATATTTAAGCCAATTTCGGGGCAGTATTTAAGCCAATTTTGGGGCAGTATTTAAGCCAATTTTGGGGCAGTATTTAAGCCAATTTTGGTGCAATACTTAAGCCAGTTTCGATGCAATATTTAAGCCAATTTCGTTGCACGATTTCAGCCAATTTTGTTGCAAGAGTTCAGCCAATTTTAATAGGATATTGATAGTGTGTGGCAACGAATTCCTGTAAATATCTCTTTTTTTTTTTTGTTCAGCCAATTTACATGAGCTGTCGCCAACGTTTCTCAGAAGCCACACCTCACACGCCCAATTTGCCTGTCTTGCACAGCCAATTTGACCCCAGATTCAGGTTGCTGTGACCCCACCACAGCTCTGGGGGTCGAGTGAGCAGAGAAAGATGTATTTACCTATAATATCCTGATAACACTTATCTCAACACGTCAGAACAGGGAGTGGATGTCAGGGGTGGAGACTGGGAGAGAGAGAGAGAGAGAGAGAGAGAGAGAGAGAGAGAGAGAGAGAGAGAGAGAGAGAGAGAGAGACAGAGAGAGAGAGAGAGAGAGAGAGAGAGAGAGAGAGAGAGAGAGAGAGAGAGAGAGAGAGAGAGAGACTCTCTGACCTTATCAGCAAGAGTTTAACATTGAAAGATGCTGATAGTTATTCATTTGTTTTTTCTATAAATAATTCAGAAGTAAAGAATTACATCAAACTAATAATAATAATAATAATAATAATAATAATAATAATAATAATAGACACAAATAAAGTTAAAAATAATCATATATATATTTCTCGAAGCTCATACAATTAATAATATAATTATTAATATAACTGTATTTGGAATAATTAAAGAGATGACGACGCTGCCAGCCTCTCAATGAACCACTCCGTAACAAAAGCGACTGTTTTGCCTAGACGTACGTATCCAAGCAGCCCATGCAGGCCGAGTACGTCAATATTACGGTGCATTAACTTTGATCCAAACCGTCGTATTTGTAACGGATTGGTCGACTCCGTAAGCGATGCGACGCGTTAAGGGAGAGGACAGGGAAGACCAATCAGCGACCTCCAGTTGAGGTAATTACACCTTGATCTCAACACTGGCGTAATTAAAGGCGAAGTTGGCAACCAATACGGGTCATTACAGGTTATTACGGGTCACTGTAGTTCATTACAGGTTATTGTAGGTCATTGCGATGGTTAACGAGTCATTGCAATGGTTAACAGGTCATTACAATGCTTAACGGGTCATTGCAATGCTTAACAGGTCATTACAATGCTTAATGGGTCATTACAATGCTTAACGAGTCATTACAATGCTTAACAGGTCATTACAATGCTTAACAGGTCATTACAATGCTTAACAGGTCATTATAATGCTTAACAGGTCATTATAATGCTTAACAGGTCATTACAATGCTTAACAGGTCATTACAATGCTTAACAGGTCATTACAATGCTTAACAGGTTATTACAATGCTTAACAGGTCATTACAATGCTTAACAGGTCATTATAATGCTTAACAGGTCATTATAATGCTTAACAGGTCATTACAATACTTAACAGGTCATTACAATGCTTAACGGGTCATTACAATGCTTAACAGGTCATTAAAATGCTTAACAGGTCATTACAATGCTTAACAGGTCATTGCAAT